TGTACATGCACACCGAAGCACTTTGCCACTGAATAGATTAGCCATTTTCCCTTCCTCTCAAAAGTAGCACACTCACCGCTGCCAAGTCCACAGCACAAACAGATAGAGACTGCCTCTTAACCTGCGATTCGGGTTTACTAATCGGGACTTACTCATTAGTCATCCATTCAAGGGCCTGGACGAACAGAATGTGTTCATTTGAGCACTATTATATTATTGGTGCGTGTATTTTGATGCTTTCAGTAGATTCCTATTTAAAAGTTTAGTCAGCTCGGTAGGGTAATGCGAGGATTGATGGTAAAATTTCCCACATAAAAATGAATACGCTCCTAGATGCCATGCAATTTCACTTGGTCCTGCCTACTCATTTTCTCTATTAGCCCCCACGTCACCATAAGCGACCTAGGCTAGTTTACTTTCTAATCACGATCTACTCGTTATATTCAAACATACTCACTACTAATATAAGTAGCGCAGTCGTTCGCAGTGGCAAATGCGAATTCGCTGCATCTAAAATTCAGCTGTTGAGCTTACTTCCGTCTCGAAAAAAAGTGTTGCGTGAAGAGATTCCAAGGTCGATTCCACCAGAAGACGACTGTGGATTCCTCTTGATCAGCTGTCGATTGACTCTACGCTGTTTCCGAGGCAATCTCCTTCGATTCCTGTGAAAAGGTGCTAGGCTTTCATGCATCAAATGAGGAACATCTTCAGAGCAGGGTATCATCGTCACAACCAAATTCAAGCCACCTCACTACATTCCAGCAAAATCACAACAAAGGAGGTTGTTGTAAGTAAGTAATGCTTTCTTGATCTATTGTTGGCTTGACGTTCGTCTGGCCCTCAGTATATGAGGTGTGATAGTTGAATTTTCCCACAATGATATGGGTAGACGTTACGTATTCATTACATTTCATACAGCCCTACTTGCCCAAAAGGCATTCTCATCCAGGCAGGAGTGTACTGCAGTTTTGACCTTGTCCGAACGGGTCTCATCAGCGCCCCCAGCGGGATTTGAACCCGTGTTGTGATGGTGCAGAGTATAATCTCGTCGCGCTGCCACGAGTTCCCTTGGCCCATGAGCGGATGTGAATTCTAGGAAAGGCTAGACATTTTTTTCATATCCGATTCGGTGGTGAGATTGTCGATGAGGCAAAATCATATTTGCTATAGAAATCAACCAACTCTGCACACAAATATAAGGTGTATTCACCCTATTTCGTTTAAGCTGCTGAAATAATAGTAATTGAATTTGCCCACAATGATATGAGTATACCTTACGCTTTCTTTGCATTTCGCATAGTTTTGCTTTTTCAAAAGATATTCTATAAAACCCGATGTCCCTGTTTTTCCTGTGGCAGATGAGGGCTTTGCACATCTTTTTTGGGGACCGGCCCAACCTTGGCGGACGAAGCAGACTCTGATGTCTTTTTGGGGGGAGCTCGATCCAGAAATCTCTTCATCACACACACTTTCATACCATATCAAAGTCTGCCCAAGCTAATTTGCTCGGTTTGGGTCATATTCCTTACTTCCATGTGCTTTTTCGTCTACTCTCGCCCGGTCGTCGTCACGACACTTTGAACTCAGCCTCTTTTAGACCACTTTTCGATTTGCGCAAAAGTCTAAATGAAGGGCTGAATTCAGAGGCGATGACATGTAAATGCAGTATCCTTAGCCCGCCAGTCTTCCCAAACCATGTCTTTCTTGGCCTTCCTAGATGTCAGGACAACACATCGATTTAGGCAGAATCAATAAAGTTCCCTCGACTGACCGATTTTCCTTAGCCAATGGCATCGGGCCATTTGTACCCACATGCATACATGCATTCACGCACGTTTCTCTATCTCAATCTCCATTCGCATTTCTATCTCTCTCTACTCCTGTCGATTCAACCACATTTAGAGTGTGCCTCTCCACTTGGTCTCATCGGTCTCTAGACCTCACGCTGACATGGCCCCATCGAGAGCTCTTCTTCAGACCGGATAAGTTGGAAATCGAAGTTGCGTAATCCGCCAGTGGGGATCGTAGCATCTCACAGCGTGGCTATGTCTACCCCCTAGCACTGGCCTCTGGACGGGTTTCGCAGAATGCGGAGACGGAACTAGATTGTGCTCATTTGAGGCTCGGGGTCCGAGTCCGTTCGCTCATGGATGACTTGGACAGCACATGCACAACTCAGGCCACAGTTTGATGGCAGGTAGGAAGGTCGTCTGGATGCTGGCTCCGTTTGATGCATAGAGTTGGCTTGAACTTGTCTTCGACTAAGAGCACACCGCATTCTGCGCCCATAGCACACTTTCTACCAGCGGCTGACCGTTGACCGGGCACCGTGTCGGGCGTTGCGCAGACAGCGTGGATGCCATCATCGTTGAGAAGAGATACCAGCGAAGGCAAGTTGATTGGCTGCACTGTTGTAACTCACCTGGTCGAAATTCACGTCAATATGAGATGTATTCACCCTACTTCGTCTAAGGTGATGAAGGACTGGTGGTAGAATTTTACCTACTCTACTCTAATACGGAAATAAGTAACGTAGTCGATTGCTATAGCAAATATAAGTTTGCTTCATCGGCACTCCCGCCAAAGAATATGATATAGCAAAAAGGCCTGACCTTCCTTGACATTCACTTATGCCCTCTGACTCAAAGGTACTCGTGGCAGTGTAGCCGAGTGGCTAGCGTGTCAAGCTCCCATCCTGCACTCCCGATGAGGGTGTTGATTAGACCGATGTGAGGTCGAAACTGCAGTCCACTCCAGCCA